CCTCTCTGTCAACGCTCTCTGGTTTCATTTAAAAGAGTCGATCATCAGATATTGTCCAAGATTAACCTTCAGGGTGGATATAGCTCGCTAGCAGCCTCACATCAATGACCTAGTTGATGTCATCATTTACCCAGAATGCTTTGTGTGTAAATAAAATGGCTCTGACCATGTTAAAATATATTTTTAAAAATTATAAAAACTAAACAGCCTACAGTATTTTTACAGTCTTCATTTTAAAGTTAAAATAAGTGTTTATCAAATAAAGTCAAATGTTACAACTAATCAGGGATCCCTTTAAGTTATGAAATACTGTATACTAAGGAAGCAGAACAAAAGGATGGGAAGCTGGGAAAACTTGAGGAAAAGTAGTCATGCAATGAAAACGAAGGGTAATATACTACTTTCCCAAAAGGTGACATAATATTCTCAAAGTTGTGTTTATTTTACAAAATGCTGAATATAAAAGACTAATCTACAAATGACAAGTTTTAAGGTTGCCTGAGAGCAGTATGGTTGCTTTTAAGAGTCATATATAAATATTACAGTTGATAATTAGTGAAAACTAATTATCAATCAAATTTAAAACAAAAACAGTAAATTTTATATTACAAATACCTGCAATTACTCACCTAATTTTTTTCTCCACAGTATTTTCTGACAATTTTCTCTCAACAAAGCTCCTGGGGAAAGTTAACCCTCTAACTAAAATGAAAACGCAACAATGGAGAAAATAGGAGCAAAAAGGGGAAAATGACGGTAAAAAAACTCAAATCATGAGAACAGTAAATGATGGGATGACGCTGGTATGACAGGAATGTTAAGGGATGACTCGTTTGCTCTGCTCACCATCTCCTTATCCTGGGAGACACCATCAGCCTCTCTCTCCCAGGGTGTGCCGTTATCAGTGCCAAACGGAGCAGCGAGAGGCTGCCTGCCAGCCTTCATCTGGCTGTCCGGAGACGTTGCTTTACTTCCACTGTAAGCACAACGTCACAGCAACACGTCACGTGAGTGTACTGCAGCTGCAGCACGTCAGTGAACTCATCAACTTTATGTTTTAGTCAGAGTACAGCCACTTCTTTTCCTCCATAAAAGGAAAACCGATGTTTTGAAGTGCCTCGAGGTTTCCCCTCAGCACGGTTGTCTTAATTTCTTACCTCTTTGACTCGTCACCTCCAAACAAGTTGGGTGGGATGTACGGTTTCTTCGGTTTGTCGTCCACATCCACATCATGACTCAGGAGCCCTGCAGAAGAATGTTCCAAATGAGACCAGCGCTCTGCAGGCAATTATGATGCATTTTATCTCCTCTTTAAAAGCACAATATGGCGTTTAACTTCCACCACAATCAGCTCCGAGGCTGAACAATTTAACCACTCTGAGTCAGAGTTTTGTTGTTTAAAATGACAAATCATTTCTAAATCCAAAATAATCTTCTGCACAACACCTGCTCTCACAGCGGTGATTAGAAAATGTAATCCTTATCTTTTCCCAAGCAGAGAACCAACCCAACGACTAAGCAGCTGCTGTCTTGCAGTGAACCACAGGCAGGGTTCAGTCGAGATGTAAATGGTAAAGTTTTAAATAAAGATTCTGCTCCTTCTTTTGTGTGTCAGAGTAGGTTTTAGGATCGACTTTCAGCTCCTACCTCACAAAGCTTTACCTCAGTAGCTGTAAAACAGACTGAACTGCAGCAGTTTGGGGTTTGCCCTGGACGATCTTGAATCAGGTCGACCATCAAATTTAATCAGTTGCTTATTCTATTTTATTATATTTATTGATACTCAATCTGTCCACTGGTTCATAACATATCTTACTAATAAACAGACAAACTAATACACACATTTATTTGACTACCTGCCTTTCCTGCCTTTCATGGGCAATGAAGACAGCAGATCATTCTAACCAACAGATCAACTTTAATTTATTTTAAAAACCAGGTTTTAAATTAGAACTTTGATGTTGTGAATTCAGTTGGGAATAATACTGAGTTTTATTTAAAGATGTGCAAAGCAAATTTCAGCACAAATCAAAACAAACAAAATAAGTTCTCTTTACACACTGAAAGCAGAAAACATTATCATTAACTCTGTGAGCGTTTTCCCTACTGTTATCCAAGGAAGGTGTCCCACCACCCCAGTGAACACCTCACCTACACATGTAGACTCACATTCCCTCTGCCTGAGTCACGCCCCTGACCTAAATGGCACTTTTGTATCTAAAATTCAATACTGTATTAAACACTAAGGAGTCTGGAGCATCATTGCTAATGTACAGGCGTGTAAATTATGCATGTGACTAAACTCTAGCACAGAGAGCACACCAAAAGACCATCTGCCGTGGGAGCGTCCACAGCCTGTTTGAGTCTCTTTGTGTCAGACTGTTGGCTAGGATTCTGGAAGAAGGCAACTACTGTACATCCTAAGCTGGTGTAAATCCTGAAGTCGGTACTTTTGACACAATATGGAACAGATTTTTTCAGAGAGCAACTCTTTCCCACTAGAGTGATTTAAATTGGTCATGTGACTAGGGCATTCAGGGGTCCAGGGACTCCAGGGGGTTAATCGTCATATTAAAGGGGGCCTATTATGCAAAATTCACTTTTTAAAGGTTTTTTACTCAACTTTGGGTATGTACTTCTTAAAAAACAGTCCTAGGACCAAAAAAAATGCACCCAGGGGCATATTTACTGTAAGTAAATGTATTTTTAATGTATATTAACGACAAGTTTTATACTTCCTACATTTTGTGATGTCACAAGCCGTACGACAACCCACCTGAACCTGCGTTCAGCCTCTTATCTAGCAACCCCCAGGTGAGACTCCACCTCCTCAGTATAAAAAGCCGTCACGGTTGTTGTTGTGTAATGCACAACTCTATTTACAACAAGCCTCTGATAAGGCAATGGGTAGAGTGTTGGACCAGAGAGCGGGAGACCAGGGTTCGAGACTGGCACGGATACAATTTAATTATTTATTTTCATTTGTTATGAACATGTTTTCTCATGTAGCTCTATTGTTTAGCTTATTAAAGCCTTGTTAAAGCATATTTGTTAGAGTTTCTGAGGTATTTTGACCACTGCTGCTCCCTGCTCTGGTAACAGCATGCAGAGTGAGCGCAGAGCAGAGGAGGGAGAGAAAAAAAAAGAAGCTGCAACCGACTCTGCCTCTGGGTCTCACAGGGTCTCATATGGTTGTACAGCGGAGCTTCTGCTATTATTAGCCATGCTAACGTAAACGCTGGCTTTGGAGGGCGGAGTTAATGTCAACAGATTTTTGGAGGGCGTTACCAACAGAGCTCATTAACATAAACAGCTCTTCTGAATGGAAGTCAGAGCAGGCAGAACTAGAAAATGGGAAATTTTATTATCTGATAATTATTTTGTGCATTAAATTGAATGATCATGGTCTGGATAGCCCACAGATATACCATAAAAATTTCTAGGACCCATAATTGGTCTCCTTTTACTGTTATTTTTTGGGCAACATCTCCCAACCCTAATTCACAGTTAAGGGTGGTTCTGTTTGAAAATCCCAATTTATAAACTTTCTTGTTGTAATGCTGTTCAAATGTTACATTTACCGCTGTTATTAAAAGCAAAACATAATTTGTTTTGATGACCCCTACAGCTACAATCTGTGTGTGGTGAACCTTCAGGTGCAGAAAACTTCACTCAGAACTGTAAACAGAAACAAAGCAGCAGGAGGACCTGCTGAGGCCTTCACAGTTCAGCTCACTGATGATGAAACTCACAGACAGCTCACCTTTGTGACCACCCTGCTTCGCCAGCTTCACATAGTCAGAGTCGCTCTCAAATATTCCCACTCGCCGCCCGCTGATCCTTTCCACCTGTGTACTGATTTCGTTGGCGGTCTGACACAGACCAGGAATCTGGGAAGTTGGTCCGGTCACACCGCTGTTAGCAGCACCTGGCTTGATGCCTGCAAAGAATCCAACATTACATTTGCTTCAACACATGATCGACTGCTTCCTACACATACAGTCAATCCTAAAACTATTGGATGATTGTCACAGATAATTTAGTTAAGTTAAATTAGTTTTTCTTGTGTAAAAGATTTTGTTGCAAAATCTATTTAATTTATTGTCCCAGGAGTCCTTTTTTATTTGGTGGAGATCTACAACGTCCTCAAAGCAATGTTGTGAATATAAGATAAAATGCTGCAGGAATATTATTCTCATTTCAAGTAATAGATAAAGCTTGTTGACTTTCCTATCAAAGTTTTAAACAAAGATCTTGTTAGCACTCATAGTATGTGTTGAGGATGATGCTCAACTACCACCACATCAAACTGTAGTGTAAACTGGCAGAGTTAGACATTTTTTTGTTAGCTACTTCTGATTAGCAGTGACGGCCATCTTTAATCGTGTTGACTGATGATGGTGAAAAGGAAATTAGTTGTAGATATGAGTCCAATGATTATTTTCTGAGAGATTTATTAAAATTCATTCAGTGTTTTATGAGATATTTTGACAACAGTGCATACACCTCATATATATACTGTACTATACAGTATATTAGTGTTGTAGTACTTGAAACTGGTCTCAAGAAAATTTTTGATGGTCTTGGTCTTGTCTCGGACTCGACAGCATTTGTACTCGGTCTTGTCTCAGTCTCAGACATTGAGGACTCTGAATTTTATTTAAAGACCAGTCAAGACCACAACTGTGGAAATATCACTAAACAGCCAGATTATTGTCCAATTTATTAGTTAGCATTCTTGGTTTCGTTTGGATTTAAAATGTAGCTACTGATTCAAATCCAAACCTGACTTATTTTCCATTTATGCATTTTTGTTACCGGCTGTCACCCATCCCCCCTCTCTTCACTCACACGCAGCACTCCAGGAAAGTAAGCAGTGGTTCTCTGGGAGCAATAAAGATGTCCTCAAAATTTAAGAATAAAATTTGGCTACATTATTCATAAATAATATTGTAAAACAACAACAACCAGGAGAAAGCGTACAGCTACTTGTACATTCAGCAGGGCTTCACTTTCAGAGACCATGGGTACAACTTTAAACTTTTACTATCACTAACGTTAACAAACTGCCTCTGTAGCAAAATTCTTTCCTCTGCCCTCACACAAAGATTTTGTCAATAATAGCTCTAAGTTTGCTACAGTGTGGAAAAAAAGTATTTAGTCAGCACCAATTGTTCAAGCTCTCCCACTTAAAAGGGCAATATTATGTGTTTCTCAGGCATATATTTAAATACTATACCATAATAAAGTATCTATGTCACCTTTAGCTGTTATTAAAATGCTGTTTTTATGTTTAAATAGAAAATAAATTTATCTTCTCATCACTTCCTCTTCTAAATGCCTTGAAATTGTCCTCTGTCTCTTTAAGAATCACCTTCCGCTTCTGTCCCGTCCCGTCACCGTCAACCGTTGGTCGGGGGGTCGCGCGCGCTATGATGCATTTTACTTGGTATCTAAAAAATACATTTCCTCAAAGGTATTTTTAATCTGAAAAGAGCGAGTGAGAAGTAGTGGAGCTCAGCAGACAGTTAAGTTTCAGTTTCACTTTTGCTCTGTTACTGCTGAGAGACTGCAGAAGTCATGGGCGGGGTG